AGAGAGAGAGAGAGAGAGAGAGAGAGAGAGAGAGAGAGAGAGAGAGAGAGAAAAGTGCCATTTTGACTCAATTTTATCGAATTCCTAAAAAAATTCAAACAAGTTTGATTTTTTGGGGTCACAATCGGATGCATTTGATGAAAATCGTGGCTACTGGGAGCTTGTTGTGCACCGAATGCGACAGACCCCAATGGATGCGTAGGTCGAATTTGAGAAAGAAAAGACACGAGGTCCAGTGTATATACACTTTAGTAGGGTTAGCAGGGGCCATTAGCCATGTTAGGTTAAAGCAAATATGTTTGGGCAAGTTGCGTCAACACCGAGATGTTGGGGCAGGTTGAAATTATTTTGGTTAAATTAGTTGGTGCGTATTTTGGTTTGCTTTGCCTTTTCGTTTTCGGCATCTTCATAAAGTTTGTTGGTGGTGAAGTGTGACTGTTTTCGTGCTGGCTTGTTGTGTCGTTTATGTATTGGACCGAAACTAAACTTCTCACGTACGCTTTTTCAAGGTGATATAGGTCATTGAAATATCGATGGGATCTTGATGCTAAGTCCAAGGTATATCTATTACCCTCGTGTCCTTAATGAGCTCCCATTATCGCTGTCCACACTTTTTTTTATAGCTCGTGTATGAGGGTATTCGGTTTTCAACGCGGAGGGGAAGGGTGGAGGGAATCGTGGTTTTTTTCATGACAGTTCGCTTTATTTGGTTTTAAGGTGAAAGAAATGAGGGAAGAACAGGTTAACAACATTGCGTTTAAGTAGATTTAGATATAACCCATGGACTTCTAAGCGTAAGTTAATGTTGTTGTGTGTTATTCCAAAAGGAGAGGGATTTGCTCCTCTTTCTGTTTGTTTGTTGTTGTTGTTTTTTTTTTTGTGTTTTTTTTTGGAGTTGGTGTGTTTGTAACCAGGCGAACCGATGCCTGAACCTTCCTGTTTGGGCTTAGTTAACCCGGATTCTAAGTAGCGTAAACAAATACTCGTAAACAACTAAGGGATGGGCCACGGCAGCTTGAAAGTCATTTGGCAGACAGCTATTGTGTACCGTTGTCTGGTCTGTTCCTTTTTTAATTTTTCTTGTCGACGTTTTCAGAATAGTCTATCGCGCACATAACGAAATCGACGAGTTGCGGAAATCTTTTCTCTATATGTATGTGTTTTAAATACAAAGAATACATGACGTGTATTCTAGACCTCAAAATATGTTTGCTATGTTCGTGTTCGCTATTTGCGTGCTAGACTGTTTTAACGTTCATGGCGAAATGTAACCGTTCTCATGCTTGTTCGTCGAGATGTTTACATTTCGGACCAAAACAACAGTCTTCACGCAAGCCTTTTTAAGCTGATATTGAACATCGAAAGATCAATGAGATCGTGATGTCATAAAGAAGGCATACCGATTACCCCAGCCTTCTTAG